CATTTCTTTCAGGCATAATCATTCATAAAATGCATGCAGGACAGCACTCCATCATAAACTGCCTGGAACGTAAGTGAGATGTGTAATGGCTTTTGGCTGCACACACATGCTAACTTAATGCTCAGCATGCAACACAGGAAAAAAAAGTGACATGGTTGAATTCTGAAAAAAAGGAGGAAAAGGGAAAACAGATGTCAAGGTTTCAACAAGTCACTGCACACTGCAGCTGGAACCAGTACAAAAACAGCATAAGTATGCTGATAATGTAGCATTTCATGTAATGATAAGGACAATAAAATAGCACAAAACGCAAAAGCTCAAATGGTTAAACACCTTCCTCAAATTCCAGAGGGTCAGTTGGGCTGAACAATAATAGTAATCCTTTCAATAACCAGATTAAATGATTCAACCATTAAAGCTCTTTATGCTCAAGAAAAGTGAAAATAGAGAGATTCCATTCTTCTAAGTGCAGAATATGGACAATCTAAAATCCAATCCAAACAGACATGCAGACACACATTATCTCATTACCATCACTCTTGAAACTATTTGGCAATAGTTTCCATTATTACAACAGATGTTAACAAGATGGATAGAGGGCATGTTAAATAAACATTAATATTAATAGATAAGTGTCTATGCAGCAAAGCCACTGTTCAAATTATTTATTTCCCCAAGAGCATTTCTTGGGAAATTAATCGGGGAATTTTTCTTGCTAATAACTATTAAAAATTCAAGGTATTTCCATTGACAAAGACTGTATCATTCAGAAAAAAAAAAAAAAAAAAACAACAAACACTACGCAATGTAAACATGGTCTACATGTGTAATCTTTACTCTGGTGGAGTGATTCTTGTAATTGCCAGTCTCCTTAGGCTTTGGCTTCTTAGGACAGAGCAGCAGAGGCAGGAAATGTGCACAGAGAGAATCCAAACTACAGAAATTTACAATGTGAAAGAGTTCAAAAGCTTAAGGATAAAGAAAGAACAGACATACTAATAATCACAAAAACCTGGAATTTTAAGTCCAGCTCTGTGAAGAGACACCTTGGTCAGAACAGTGCCTCCACGTCACAGGCAGACTGCTTACAACTGCTGAGATTTCTCAGGCATGCTGAACATGGAGATTGCTTTCTCATGTAAGAGTTTCTTACTGGAACACAGCCTGTTGCTTGTGAGTGCTTCAGTACAGCAAGTCCTGGGACATTACTAAATCTAGCAAGTGAAAAATAAGCAGAGTTTATAAATTCATGACTATGACATGAACCATCAGGATTAGAGCTAACAAAAAAGCAAGCAAGAAAAACCTGACACCAACAATTGGAAAAAGGATTTTTAAAGTACTGCTACACACAGAGTCACAACTGACTTCTGAAAGATCTGAGAATTAAAAAGAAATCTGCTAAGATGTTATCAGTGTAAACTTCAGATAAAACCCCGCCAGCAAAAGATTTAATAAATTAACGTTACAATGAGAGTTGAAAAAGAGTTTTCTCAAGCACCTCTGAAAGTTCCAGCATAATGGCATAGAAAATAATTCCTTCAAAATCCCTTCTCTTTTCCTAGAAAAACCTTTTTTTTAATATTTAAGCTATAAACTGTGAAAGGAGATACTTTTATGAAGAATCAATATCCAGATCTGTTGATTTTAAGATTAAAATTATTACAGTATACTAGTACTATATCTTCAAAACTACTTGTTGCCTAAGAAAATGTAAATTAAATTTTTTTTGTTGCCGTATAACCCTTCCACATTCATCACTAACCTGACTGCTGTGTATTTATAGATTGCAGAAGCCAAAAGCATTGCATTCATGCTTAATTTCATCTGTGCACGCTTAGGTTGACTTATTTTAAGCTGTAGCATAGCTTGGAGGAAACACGTGTAGATGTAGTAAGTACCAAAGGAATTTGTTTTGATTATTTTTGACATAATAAGATACATCAAACTGACACCCTGATGCAGATGCACTTCTCTGCTGGCAGTGCAGCATCACTCACATGGAAAAGCCATACCAAAAATACCTGCCAGATGTGTTTGGAAATGTTATGCTATTTAACAAACATTTGAAGACTTGACTCAAACCCAAAATGAAATCAAAAAGATGAAGCAATCTATGCTCAGGCAGTGCAGACCCAAATAACTTGTTGAACTGGAAGTCCAGAAGCTCAGCAAGTTATTAATCTGTTATGCTGTTCCTTACAAAACTTTATAATCTTTTAATTGTATCCCTGTGTTCTGATTCTACTACCTGTTATGAACATGAACTTAATAGCCTTCAGCTACAAATCCTTTACTTCTAAGATCCTATATCTCATAGGGAATGATGTGATAAAGCAACTTGAAAGAAGTCACATTACAAAATGTAGGAGAATTTAGCACATTTGCAATTCAGAAGGCTGCTAGGCACAGATAAGTTCTAAAGAAAAATACAATCACAGAAAATAGCACCATGTTGGAAAGGGAAATTTGCACCAAAAGCAATTTCAGCTGTGATAACACCTTGCTGTGTCTGTGAACTTCCTTTTAACTTACTGATGTTCTTCTGCAGCACAAAGGCCCAGATCTCCAGGACAGGCAGTCTCCACACAGCACCCAGCTTCAGTTTTTGCATCCAGAACAACCCAGGAAATTAAGTTCTGTCCATATATCTGTCTCTACATATCCCATGTGTATCAATATAAACTGATCTAAAAATCCCAGGATCAATTTGTAGCTGCCAACATAATGAACCAGAAAATGTCAGGCCTATAAGAAAAAAAAAAGAAAAAAAAAAAAAGAGGTTTGCCCAATCAGGTTGTCTCTTGTTGTCTCTTCTCTCTGCTTCTTTGCTGCACATGCATTTGGGTTTGGTGGTGGTGGTGGTTTGGGGAGTTTTTGGGTGTTTTGTTAACTGAGAAATTGAAAGAAATAGGTTTCCAGCTCAGAAACAAAGGAGAAGAAAAGGTAAGTATCCTAACCACCTGAGAGCAAAGATGGAGCTATGGATATGCTCATTGTTAAATCTGTGTCATTTGTGCAGCACTAAACAAAAATAATTACCAAGTGAGGCAAAAGCAGAAAGAAGGAACTGAATACACAGCCCACACAGTCACAGATGGTGACACACTCTGATGGGGATGGAAGCAATTATGAGCCAGTCTTAGTCCTGGGACTATTCAAGAAGTCCTTGAATGATATTCACAAACATTAGGCACGTGACAGGGGATAAGCACTCTCATATTAATGGCATGGCTCCAATTACTCCAAGTGGTTTCATTAGTTTGGAAGTGTTGTTAAGTCCTTTCAGCAAGTGCAGGTAGTGCTTAAAAAAAGAGAGGATTTTCTTTCTTAAAAGATATTGCAGTAATAACTTGATATTGGAATCCAAATCTTAAGTCTTTTTATTGCTTAAAGGAAAACCTGGAAACGGGGAAAGTGAACATAGAAAATCTGTCACAACCAAGCTTGCAGAGTGCTGCCATGTGCTTTAAAATTGTTCAAGGGCTCTGGGCATAGTTACCCTTCTCAATGCAAGCTAGGCAGCAATGTATATGAGAAACATTTGCTTTATGTTAGCGACACAATTACAATTTTCTAGCAAATTTATAACAGGCAACAGATTCACTTCACCAAAAATATCTCAAGCACACACTCAATTATTTGACTTTTCCCAATCATTTAAAACAAAGATAACTCTACAACCCCCCAAGATATTTCCTTCCACGCCTTTGCATTTTTTCTAGAGGTACTTCCTTTTCCATTTGTTTAAGCCTTTAGTAGCATCCTTCTTTGCTGAAACAAAAAGTGGTCATGCTTTCCTTTCTTATAAGAAAAATGAACCTGAAAGCATACAAAATGCCTACTGCCTACTTCAGAGCAGTAACTGAGTACAGAAATAACCCACAAGCTTAATGAGCATAAGCTCTCATGAGGAGCCAGAGATTTTAGCACCACCAGTGATGGATCTGTGTAAGGCCAGAGTTAGGATCCAGAAAGAAGCATTATAGGTCTTTTTATTTGGCAATGTATTATTTGTGCATATTCATTTTAAATAAGGATATATTAAATAATATTTCTTTTTACCTGTCATTACACGCATTGAGGGAATGTATTCAACAAAATTAAATTCATGAATACTCTCTGAATAGAAAGTGATTTCAGAAAAGGTGGTTTAGAGAAATAGCATAAGTGTTTTGAATAATTTTCAAGAGTTGTCTCACTGCTGACAGACATCGTAGCTTATAGTGTCAATAAAAGCCTCTAGTTAATGTTTGCAAATACATTTACTCAGCATCCCTAATTAAGACATCCTAATCCTGTGAATCAGTGTGGAAAAGTGAAAAAACATGACACAACACTGGAAGAGAACACTAATAGAGATTTATAAGACAAAGCCAAAGATCCTCCTGAGTACATTAGAACTTATTTCTACAAACAGAAACTTGATCAAGTAATGCATTAATTCCTTTAAAGTGACCCAGAAGTTAATGGGACAATATTCATGCAGGGAAAAGCCACCCACACTTGAATGGTACAATGACTCAACCAACTTAAGGGCTCGGGAGAACAGTAAGATACGAGTCACTATCTGTGGCATCCTCTAAAATGTCTCCTGTGCAAAGATTACCGTCTGCCTTGCTGAATCCATCAGCGGCCACTTCAGGATGAATTCATCGTACTAATGTCAGGTGACAGCCCTGTCCTTCCCCTGAACCAGCCGTGAATATTCAGAGAAATTAATACTGCCTCCAAATGAGGCTGAGCAATTCCTGGTCCGTCTGCAGCGGCTCCAGAGGTCTTAATTCAATTTAAGTACCCAGCCAGAGCCCAGGGTCTCTCTCAGCCGGGCTCGCTGCTCGGGTTTAGGCGGCGTTCGGAGCCGGGGCGGCGGCGCCGGGCGGAGGCGCCGCAGGAGCAGGAGCGGCGCTCGCACGCACGGGGGCGCTGCGGGCCCGCGCCCGGCCCCAGCAGCGGCTAAACGGAGAGATAAAGCGGAAATAAGGATCCTGAGAGAAACCCCTACATCCTCAGCGAAGCGGTCATAGCTCGACTCCAAAACTCGTGATCTCCAAGAGCGAGAAATCCAAGAGAAGGCTTTTCTCCCTTTCTGACATTTCAGGTGCATTAACTTAGCTTTTCTTAAAGCCATACTTGTCTATGGGCAATCAAACTCCCTTCTCCCCCCCCCCCCCCCCAGCATGAATTTATATTCTTCACAGTTTCTCACATTTTTTTCTGAACATCAGAAAAAAGCTTTTAATGTGAGAGTGACTGAGCACTAGCGCAGGGAGGTGTTAGAGTCTCTAGCCTCAAACACTAAAAGGCCATCTGGACACTAAAAAGTCCTGGGCAGCCTGCTAGGGGTGACCCCACCTGAGCAGGGGAGTTGGTCCAGACAGCCTCCAGCAGTTTCTTCCAGCCTCAACAATTCTATGACTCTGTGATCTTTTTTTTTTTTTTCCTTTAGTTGACTTTCTCTTGTCATCACCCTCCCACTCATATTCTTTTTCCCCATTAATATCCGCTGCCTCAATTGCCTTACTCCCACCTTGCTGTCTCACTTCTTACTCTTCATCTGTTTTTTTGCTCTCAGCTAGTAGAAGAATATTCTTCCCTTGTGAAGTAATTGGGGAGGGTACATGTTTGACAAGTGGAGCTAACAATCAAGTCCTACTGAAGCACCTTCCTTCTCCATAGTAACATGGGACAAGAGGCACTACAGGAGATCATCATCACCATGGCCAGAGGACATCAATTCAGGTGTACACACGATCAGACATATTTTGTGTAACAAGAAAATTGCACCATTTTTGTCAAAGTAAGTATGCTTCTCTCTGTCACAAGGGCTGCTTACATTCTGGAATTAAATGTATGCCTCATTTTTCGGACAGCTGTATACATTGTAACTATACTGCAAAATCAAGTTGATTTTTTTTTTCCCCAATCCTGATTTTTAAAACTAATTTTAAAGGGTGATAAAGAGACCTTATATAGGTTTAGAAGCCAAAACCATGACAGCAGTCTAAGAAAATCCTTCAAAACAGCTCATTCCCTTAAAAAGAAAACAGAACCAAAGCCAACCTCAATTTAAGTCCCTTTCACAAACAAAACTGAAACAGTAGTAAATAACAGAACAGATTATGTGTCCATATTTTCCAGAAACAAGTCTCACCCCCACCAATATCTCTCAGTTTTGTCCTGTGAACAAATTCATCAGCAATTTTACTTGGACAGCAAATTACAAAGCTACCTGTCTTGACTACCCATCCCAGATGCCAAACCATTCCTGAGGAAGAGGGGTGACTACTTTGTCTAGCTGTGGAAACTTCAGCCAGATTCCTGAGGGAAGGAAAAGCTGTTTTCCCTTCCGCCATCACCTGCCCTAGCATCACTGGGGGAGGGCATCATCAGCTCAGGAAAGCTCTTCCCTGATTCAAAACACTGAAACACACCATAAACAGAAGTTAGAAGAAAAGTTTTTCATGCTTCTTCTGTTGCCTCACAAGCTCTGAGCTTACCTCCTGGCACACAATGAAGGCTGTTTTAAGAGTACAAAAAAAAAAAAGGTCCACAGTGTACATCCATAAAACTAAAAAATTCAAGCCTGTTGTGAAATGAAACATTAAACAGTGTTTCATGATTGTACTCTTGTGACTACTTAACTGCAAAAAGAACAGAAGAAAGAGTGAGCCCAATCCTGAAGAAAGATACCTACTATATCTTTGGGCCTTCTCCACAACTCCCCTACTTCTCATTAAGAGATTTAACCCAGGCCCTATTTTAAGGAATTCTGATGTATCTCTAATTCTTCTGCCAAGCAGCACTAGCTGTTAAATTCAGTTAAGTTTATAGCTATCATGTTATATGCAAGGGACATATGATGCCACACTTTGAATACAGAAAGACACACAATTCTAGCTTTGGAATTTCCTGAGAGCATGTGGACCACAACAGGTGACAATAGGAGAGATTTCCCAGGATGTTTATGCTTTTTGTTCCTCATCCTGCTATTTTCCAACATTTAAAAACACATCAAATCCATATCCTTCAAGGCAAAAGATTTATGTATTCTTTAAAAAAAATTCAATTTCAAAAATAACACCACATTCCTGCATAATCCTATCTTTTTTTTTGCTAAGTCTGCTTCCCAGCAAAAGCCCTGCATTCCAACAATTGCTTACTTTCTTGTTACAGTCTTAGCTGCAGTGCCTTGATAAATAGATGTTTCCATGGAGATGACAAATGAATATCATCCATGTTGCAATGGGATTCAGATTTCATCTTGAACCATTAGCTTTCAAACCAAAGCTTATTCATTATTCATTTGCAGTAAAGGAAATGGCTGAAACTCAGTGCATTATAGCAGATTAAAATCTGTGCATGCAGTTTAGAAGAAAGTGCATTTGTCACCATATAATATGAACAAAACTCCCTGGGATTAAAATAATGATTCCAGAAGCTGTCCTAAAGGTCTAGAAAGATTTTCTCCTCAATTAATAGGATGCCTACATAAACTATGGAATTTGAGACATATTTTAACTATTAAGGCATGCAGGGGACTTTCAGGAGGAAAAAAACCCAGCAGATGACATTCAACTGTTTTTCAAACTGTTAGAATTACACTAAATGCTTTTCAGAAACAGGCTTAATAACATAAGCCATCAAAACTTATTAGCTTAGTAGTACATGTAAACTTGTGTGTCCTTTTTGTCAGTTCTTGTGTATGAAACCAGTATCTGCATTCCATTCAGAAAAGTCCTTTCTTGTATGACTGGCTGGCAGATGACTAGAGTCTTTGACAGCTCTGAGGGAGCCTAAGATGGAGAAGAAAATATTTTCAGTTTTTTCAAAACTAAAAATTTGCACAGTGGCTGCAGTTATTTTTAAAAAGACCTTAAAGCTCATAAAAAGCTTTGCACTTGGCAGGAACGTCTACTTTTGTCTGCTCAACTTAAGAGAAATATTTGTTCTTCTATATTTAATAAATTAAAGGCAGTACACTAATAGGATAGCCGATGAAAAGAATATACAATATCAATGCACTACATTAAAACATTTTTTCAGTCGTATGTCCTGAGCTAGAAGGAAGAAAAAAGTCAGTGCGCTGTTACTGCTACAAGTAGTACACACACTGAAAGAAATTTTGTGTTCTGCACTTCCACACAAGGGCTTTACATTTATGGCAATTTGAAGAATATGAAATACTCTTTCTTAAATGCTGGCCCAAGACTGGCCTACTTGGAAGGAAGGAGTCTGATCAATGCTTGAAAAATACAGCAGACATATGCACTGCAGTGTCACCTAATAGTTACTGGCTGCTGTTGTCATTGCTTGTAACAGCATTCAAATTCATTGTAATTGAGGTAGGCAGGAAATTTTTTGGCTGATTGTGAGGTGGGAGCTGTCTAGATGCATATGACCTGAAGGAAATTTTGCCTAAAGGAAAGTTATTGTGCATCTGACCCACAGAAGAAAAAAACAAAAACCAGGACATACAAAAGTGGGACGTCCTTCACACTTGCCCTGGTTAACAACATCCATCCATGCTCCTGCTGTCTGAGCACTGGAGTTGTCCTGGGAAAAGCATGTCAATTAGAGTAAGTTATAACTAATTACGTGTCTCTTCATTTGAATTACTGTCCATTAAGAAGTGACCTGAGTTTACAGAACACATTTCATTCCCATAACTGGCTTAATACCAGTGTGGCAAGAGGTCAAAAGGTAACAAGAAATTCTGAAGCAGGATTACTTTGACACGTAGGAAGGGGATAGTGAGCAGCAGCTCATTTTTTTCCCCACTAACATGACATGCCATTTTCATACTACTGGTATCTCACTTAGTTCTGCAGATTGCCGTGAAGCTGGAACGACCACACGCTCCACTGCACAAGCAGCCATCTCCAAAATGTCTCTTTGTATCTCACAGATGAGGCTTTATCCAAGCATAGGGATGCGATGAAGCAAGCAATAAAGGCCAAACCTTAGTCACATCAAGGAATATGCAGACAGTCAAGACAAAGAACTGAGCTCTTCCCGTGCAGGTTGTCTCACATGGAGTAGGACATCTACTAAATGACTTTGTCTGCAGAAATGAACTCTCCAGGGTTATTTTTGTTGCTGCAGAAAGGAGAAATGAGTTAACCATTACTCAGCCTTTGCAAACCTTTGAGGATTTGATCCACCACATTTAATTTAGAGAGTTTTTCTACTCTTAACTCAAAGTAGAAGTTGAAATTTCATTTGCCCATTATTGGAATTCATAGCAGTTAATGCCTGGAACTGCCTAAGGTTTGAAGTGAGACATCTGGGACACAAATTACAGAAAATAGATTTGTTTCTCAAACCTGACTCTTTTCTTATTTGGCAGGAGATGCTCGCTTCATCACGCTCTTAATTTGCTTCTGAGCACAGATTCATAATAACCATGACAGTGTGTTTTCACTCACCAGCACAAATTTTAGCCTTCAGAGGCAGTAAAAGGAACAGGCAGATAGACAAAGCCATGGAAACCTTTCAGCACAGCACAGTGAGGATTCCAGCATCGAGCTAGATCACCAAGGAGTGAAATACATGCTCTTTTCCTTTGAGAAGAAAAAATAAACCCCAGGATGAAACAAGGTGATGCAGATACAATGTCTTACAATATTTTTTGTAACTTATCTTCCTAAGATAAACACACAAAAGACCTAAACTTTTGGTGATATTTACTGGAGCCAAAATAACTGCTGTGAACTCGCTGTAGAGTACATCGGATGTTCTGAAGGACAGTGTGATTGTTAAGTGTAATGTTTGCAAGTACTTGTTTAATTTAACCTATAACTCCTCTCTGCTTGCTCTCACATGTTTCTATAAACCTATCACTGTGTGCATCACCTGCTACAGCCTTAACCTTCCCCAACTGGATATAGAGATGTAACTCCACAGGTAGACAGCACAAGACACTCTGAATCCATGAAGTGATCATACATGATCCTTCAGCACAAAAGTCACTGTAGCCACCTACTTCGCCTGGTGCAGAAGGAACCTTTGCTGCCCGACAGCTTCCTCTAGTATTATTTCCAGCTATTTGATACATAGGTGCTGTCATGCTCAATATACTTGACCTTTTGAAATCTGCAGCTTTCAACTCATTTAACAAACATAACCCTTTATTTACTAATGTTTAAAATACTTTAGAGCATAAAAATTGCCAATGTTCATGGGAAAACAAGAACACATACACTTATATAACTGATCATTTCTAAGGTGACAGCGAAGTTTTAAAATCACATCCTTAAAAGTCCAGAATGGGAAATTGAGATGCAGGCAGGGCTAATTAGCAGCCATAAAAGACTAATTAATGTACTAAGTCCCAAGAGGGAACAAATGTTCACACCCTTGTAGCATTTGGGCTATATAGATTTAACTCCTAAGCTTAGGAATAAACTCCTGTAGGTTCAGCTCCAAGCTGAGTTTCAGTTAGACGTTCCAGAAGCCACCACGTGATTTGTTCTGGTTTAATCCATGTGTTAGATATATTTTTTTGTACATTTACAGAGTGTTCTGAGTTTGGATAGTGTTGAGTAAAAAGCCAGACAAGGAAAATAATTTTCCTTGAGCCCTGAAGGAGAACTTAAATCTTCTACTTTATATCTAGAAAAAGATATGAAATGTTTATCAATTAAATTATTTGGCCTTTTTCAAGGGCATGATACTAAAGCAAGAATACATAATCTTCAGAAGAAGTTTGCACTAACATTATCCCATTTCCTACTAGGAAATAACTGAAGTCAACAGAATAGCGTTTTTACTGTGAAGTTATATAATACTGTGATCCCAGGGCAAAAATCAGCATTTCAAGCACAGAAACTGATTTGAGTTGAACTCGTATTACATGGGGAGAAATGAGTTTATTCCCCTACTTCAGCCAAGCACAGTTAACTGAAAGCTGAAAATCTTTAAACGACATGGCCCCATGAGGCAGGCAGGACACCCCAGAGCACCTGTGTGGCACCACAGTAAAGCCATTCTGCCACTACCCAAAGCCAAACTCTGTGAGCAGCACCATCAAAGCCATGGGCCATTGCTACCAAAGCCTTCTACCAGTGCTTGGCAGAAAAAGACTCAAGGATCGCTTCTCCCCAACCTACCAAAACAGGAGAAACATAGCTAAAGTAGGAACTGCTTATCTGCAGAACCACACTATGGAATTTCTCCCCCAGTGCACCTTATATACTTTCCTTTTTTCCTTCCTCCCACAACCTGACAGCAATTAATGGACTCAGGGATCTCTCAACTGAAAAATTGTGGAAGAAGCTGCAGTAGGATAGAAAGGTCAGGGCTATCTATGTCAGTGTCCTGAAGCCCCTGAAGGACCAGGCTTGTAACCTTCCTGTCATCTCATGGTGGCAGAAGCCCAACGGGGATTCAGGGGAGAGAAGCTCAAAATGCAGTCTACATAGTTTCCAACCTGTTGGATGGTGAACTGTAACCAGAATGGACCAAGCACCACTATGGTACCCCTGCAAGTAAGAATAATTTTGATTTTAAATTACTACTCTCTTCTGAAAGAGATCTCATTTTGGTCTCTTGAAACCTGATTTTCCTAGTTTCTACTCTGCAGAAAGGAGGATTTATGCAGCATGTAGAGCTGGCTGCACTAGGTATATATATATCTGGCATTTGGATCATCCTCTTTAATGATCATGTTGAGTTCTTAAACCATTTGCCATCATTTCATATCAATATCTATCCAGAAAACAGCAGGAAAATCTTCAGCAGCTGCTAGTCAGCCATTTCTCTGTTGCCAGGCAGGATATAACCCAAACAACTCCAGTGTTTTATAAGGAAGATTTATCCCAAGGTCAAAGAAAAGCAGCATTTCTGTTCCTATGAAAACTCCAATTCACTCAGATTTTACAGGGTACGTGCATTACTCATATATGCATCCTGTAGAAGTGTATTTGAATGTAATAATATCTTTTTCCACCTCTGCATCACATAGGGCAATTTCTAGCCCCAGAAAGTGCAAAGGAATATTGAGGAGGATGTGCCCCTCCCAGCTCTATAACTCAAGGAACTGAAAATCCATTTTGCCATGTGCAATTGCTGTTCCAGCCACCAGATGCTACTGCGGCATTAGAAGTTGCCCGGAGTTGCGGCTCCTCACAGTCCACTACTGTGGAGTGGACACCACACAGCCTTTAATTACATGACCATACACTGCCTCATGCCCCGGGCTGCTGTCCTTTTGAAGAGGATAATAAAGAAAGCTTAGTTATCTGTAGAACCCTTCTTCATTTGCTGCAAAAGCTGACAGGTATGTAGTGAACAAAAAGAGATAGTGGGGGATGAGGAGGGTGTTGTGACTGAACAAGGCAAAGCTGAGCTGTTAGAGACTGGTGAAAAGGGCTGCATAGCTGGGAGCCTTAGTACAGACACACCATTCTCACTACCCAGAATCAGAGGATGTTTGCGACACTGCACTTGATCTCTCCATGCCTCTGTTCCTTCTGTAAAATTAAGATAACGCCTGCTAACATCTCTGAAATGACTTTATAAGTATTAAAGAGTATTTCTAGCATTTACACCTGAACTATTAATAGCAGTAAAAGTCAACACTAGATAGTATAGAGAATTAAAAATGGCTATTTAATGCACAGTTATTTATGTAATTTTTTGTTATTAAAAAACCCTAAATATGTACAAAACTCAAAAAAGAAACTGTATCCAACATGTTTTAAGGATCTTTGTAAGCAATATATACTTAAAATGCAGCAGCACAATTTAAGCTCCAACCTCCTTCTAGCTTCATTGAAAGAAAAATTCAGAAGCCAGTTAAGGAGAGGTGTTTGCCTGTAAGAAAGCCAGCACACCATGGTCACTGCTCTGGCTGTCTGGAATAAGGAGAAAATGGCCATGGTATCTCATGGATGGCCAGATAATAAGAATGAAGACAAACAGAGAACAAGAATGGATGAGGAAACCTAGGGTGAAGAGTTCAAACAAGTACCCAAACCATACAGAAACCCTAGATTTAACACTTAACCCTTCAGCCATTTGCAGTCATTTTCCCCTTCATGTTGCAGCTCCAGTGAATGCTTGATAATCTTTGCATTATCTCCCTCCTCATTTCATACAATCAAAACATGACTGTGCACTGTCAACCAGAGGCCTGGAATCACATGGAGATTTGGGAAGTGAAAGCTCCACCACTCTTCCTCTCTATGGCCAGACCTGTGTTTTGTACAGCAGCCACTGCCTGCTCACAGTACAGCAGCGCAGCGGGAGAGCAGCAGCTATCTGCAAGGCTGATCTCTGCCACCACAGGGTACAAGGAAGAAGGAGAGGCACAGGAGTACAATTAGTACCTTAATTATTCAAAGCAAAGTCCTCTTATCACGAAATTGAAGGTAATCGTACCACAAGATAGAGCAATTATGCTTTTTTCCCTTTTTTTTTTTTTTTAATCTTTAGATTGCAATGTCCTAACAAGCAATCAGGCTCAAACATTTAAACTCAACATGAAGAACTATAGCCCCTGTCATCTCATTTCCTTTAGGTAGTGTTTTTCCATCATCAAAAATAAGTCCTTATCCTTCCCTGCTGATTCTCAGCTCCTTTCTAGAATCCCAGTCACTCCAACAAGATCAAAGGAGAGCTTCTGCCCTACTGCCCACTGCCTTCTAGCAACTGTCCTGCCCTGTCAGAGTTTTAGTCTTGCCTGAGTCATTTAAATGTAAGGCACACAGATGCCTTTCCTCTCATCTTTCCTTTTTTACCTTCTGTCAGAGAAAACAAGAGCCTGTGAAACAGGGCAGTTTTCCCCTGCTGCTTTACTTTGCAGAGCATTCAGATACATCCATAAAGGGATGTGGCTAAAATGGCATCACTAAGCTAACCATGCACCAGGGATTGCTTCTGTCCTTACAACTGCCTGGAGCAAGTGCTGAGGGGTGCAGAACTGGAACGGGGTAAAAGACAGGAGCAAGAAGGTCAAAGAGGGAGGTAGAAAGTGATAAAGGGGGAAAGATCACTTTTCAAAAGCACAAAAGGATGCAAAGGCCAAAATCTTTCTGGATGAAGAATCCAGGGTTTGGTAGCTTTTTCCAGCTATTACTCACCTGGACCTGATTGCCAGGACTGGCTTGTGGGCTGTGGTTGACTAAAGAAGGAAAGGGTCTGTCATTTAACCTTGAATGTTACCAAAGTTTCATAAGATGTTTTGAAGCAATGGGAGAGTTCTACTCTATTTTCTTAAGTAAATTTTGCAGACTGTTTTTCTGATATAACCACAGTGACTTTACAGACACAAAGGCAAGGGAATGAAAGAATAATATAAATGTGTGTTCACTTGTGTTTGGGAGAGAACAGCAGCTGCATATTAAGGTTTCCTATATATTACCACAACTACATGCATCACAGGTTGAGTTTTGATTATTGATTAACCTACTAATTGATTATTCTACTCA